TTTTTTTTAAAAGAATTATATAACTTTGTAAATAATAAATATTAATTTTATTAAATTTGGAAAATTAAAAAAGTTAAAAAGTTATTAAGTCAAAATTTTAACATGCTCACACCAATTAAAAATAATGTAATTTTGATCACAAATCTTAGTCGAATGATATTGATTTAAACTAGTGACAAAATAGATTACCATCTATAAATAAATTCGTTAGTTCATCAAAATTTTATATATTAAATTAAATTTTTTAACTTTTAAACCTATTTTATGTGGATATCTCTGAACCGTCAAATTTACAAACCAAAATTAAGAAACCAAAATTAAGATGAAAAATTATCAAAACAAAATTTGAAAATTAAGAAATAATTGTATAAAAGCATTATTATTAAACTAATTAATATAGAAACAGTTATGAAGTAGAAAATTAATTTTATTGGTAAAAAAATATAATTATACATGAATCAATTATGGTTATAAGTTATTACTAACAAAGATAAAATGAGAGCTGGATAAAAAATACATATGATTTGTGATTACTTGTATGATGATATTATGTTTCTAGACGTTAAATTTTGTAAAAAGGAAAGCCCATGGGCTGGCCCTGGCCTATAGGGCTTTAGGGGTTTTTAGCCCTGTGGGCTTTTTTAATAAAGAATTTTTTTGGCCCTGTGGGCTTTTTTGGCCCCAACCCACATGGGCTAGGGCCAAATCTTATTAAAGGGGCTCATTTGACAGCTCTAGCGACATCCGTTGAGTTTTTTTCTTTTCTTTTTAGTTTTTAGTATTTTAATTTATTGTATTTTAAATTAATATATAAATATTATTTAATTTTTTTTAATTATTAAATAATTATTTATAAAATAATTTAATTTAATTTAATAAAATAATTATTATTAATTTAATTTATGTATTATTATTTAAATAATAATTAAAATATATTTAAAAATTTTATTAAAACGGATGTGCCACATCCGATGTGGCGACATCCGATGCAGTTTTTTTTAGTTTTTTGTTTTCTAATTTATTATATTTTAAATTAATATATAAATATTATTTAATTTTTTTAAAATTATTACTTAATTATGTATACATTAATTTTATTTTATTTAATAAAATAATTATTATTAATTTAATTTATGTATTATTATTTAAATAATAATCAAAATATTTCTAAAACATTTATTAAAGCGGATGTGCCACATGTGGTGACATCAGTTATAGTTTTTTCTTTAGTTTTTTGTTTTTTAATTTATTATATTTTAAATTAATATATAAATATTATTTAATTTTTAAAATTATTACTTAATTATTTATAAATTACTTTTATTTTATTTAATAAAATAATTATTATTAATTTAATTTATGTATTATTATTTAAATAAATCAAAATATTTTTAAAAAAATTATTAAAACGGATGTGCCACATCCGTTGAAGACTTTTTTTTTAAATAAAAACAATAAACTAAAATATAAAATATGTAAACGGATGTCAACATCCGTTGAAGGTGAAACCGTTTTAGAGTAAGGACAAAATAGGTATCGGGTGGCGCAGGGAGCATTCGGTGGTGATGGAGGGAGCAAGTGTCCTAAATTTAATGCACGTAAATGTTATATTTATTTGTATCTCCTATAGTTACTTCAAGTATTCTTTTGCCTTTCTTCGTTGGTCTTCATTTCTTCCTAAGTCTTTCATTAATTAATTGTGATGGTTCTTTTGCTTCCTTTACTTTATTGGTCCCTACTTTCCCTTGTTGGTTTTTGTGTTTGTGTTATTTATTTGTGTTGAGATTTGTCATTGTTGATTATGTGGTGGTCTTTTATCTAATTATTGTTTATGGTGTTCATCGAGTACGTTTATGAATTGCGTGACACATGAGATAAAAGTAACTTCATTCAAAACCCCTTATATTATGTTATTACACATTTTAAAAATCGTTGAACTCTTAACCAACTTTTGAAATCATGTTCAAAGCACGAGTTCTTAACCAGATTTCGAAAGTTGACTAAGAGTTCAACAGCTTTTGAAAACTCTTAAAACCTTAATCGATTTTCTAAAGATGACAAACTCTTAATTGAATTTCAAAATCTAATTAAGAGTTTAATAAATTTCAAAATCCGTCAAACCCTTAACTGGATTTTGAAATTGGGTTAAGAGTTCATCGAATTTCGAAAATCGTTTAAAAGATTAACCGTTTCAAAAAGCATTCCCTTGTTAACTACGTGCATTAGACCATAATTTGACTGGTAGCGTAGGTCTTTTTCTCCTTTCACCTTGTGGTGAGCTTTCACCATGATAGTAGATGCATATCATGTTTTAACCATATATGGGGCAACCAAAATTTACAAACAACAAAATACATTAAAAAAATTTAGGGTTAAATATGTTTTTTGTCCCTTAACTTTTCAGTACAAATTGAAATAAGTTAATCTTTGAAACCTTGACCTAATTTAGTCCCTCATCTATTAAAATAGGTTGATTTAGTCATTTTAATCAAATTTTGTCTAGTTTATTTAAAGTTTCAAATGAGTTTCTAAATTAACATTGAAGTGAAAATACGTCAAATGGTGTAAACAAGTCAAATGTTATCATAAAACACGTTTGAAATATTAAATAAACTTAACAAAATTTGGTTAAAAGGACTAAATTCATACATTTTTAAGATTTAAGGATTAAATTGGGCCAAAAATTTTAAGAGAAACTAATTTCAATTTTGACTAAAAGTTGAAAGACAAAAATATATTTAATCCAAAAATTAAATATACAAACAACAAAAATAATAAAATATTTTAATATTTCAACCAATATATAAACAAGTAAATATAATAAAAAGTTAAAATTATTTTTTAAAACAAAAAAATATAACAAAATTAATTAATAAACCTAAAAAAAATTCGAAACACACACATTCAAAATTAAAAAAGAAAAAAAAGTAGATTTTGGAAACTGTAAAAGACTTAAATGGATTTCAAGATTCGATGCAGACTTAACCGGCTTTCTGTCAGAAGAATATATTTAGAAAACATTGGAATTACATAAAGAAAGTATTTTAGAAATTTAGAAAAAGTTGGAATTACATAAAGAAAGGTGTGAGGTAGAGGGAGAACGAGTCTTGAATTAATAGTCTGTAAATCTGAAATTGTGATAAGAAACAGATATATGAGAACAGGTACTGCACTTTATCCAAAAGGGTAATGAGATATTCAAACTTAACAATGATAATGGAACAATAATTAATATGTTTTGGTTACCTGCCACCTTCCAAATTCTGTTTCTCTCCTCCCCGGTTTACATTTCCCTGAAAAAGGTCAGGTGATTACTGAGTAAAAATAAACAATGGGCTCCACATCGATCATGTGTGTCTCATTAATTTGAGGTTGTTCTATATATTGATACAGAATACCCTGTAACGACCATCTTTGCGCTTGGGGCAATGACGCAGCTAGTGAGGTTCTAACCGAGGCGCGTCTATTGCTGGTTGAAAACTATTTCCAAACCCCCTCTTAGGCCTGGGCTTGTCTTGGGCCTTTGAGAATTTCTGGAAGGGCTCCCTCTGGGATAAAGTCCTGTAAGCTTAGTGAAAAGTAATTTTCATGTTGGAGAATCAATTTAAAATGTTGATGTGATGACCTTTGAAGGATATTTTGTAGTTTGTTCCATGTTAACTTATTGCATGAATTCCTTCTAAGAGAATTAAACATTTTAATTTTGTATTAAAACAGAAGAAAACTCACTTTTCCTGTTCTTAAGAAATTAATCACGAATTTTATAAATAAGTTCATACATAAATTATTTTAGCTTACATAAAATTTAGATTTTATTTATTTTTTGTTTCTTTTAAGTGTCTATCCAGAATTCTCCAATCGGGTCTATATAGTTCAGTCGTATTGGTAAATGTATAAAAACAAATTAAAAATGGAAACAAATTAAAAAGCAAACATTTATTTACAATACCTGAGATGGTGCATTGGGAGGAGCTGGTGTTTTGATGGTATATACTGAAATTAGAGTTTAAAATTCAGGTGTAGAATTTGAAATAAAACGACTGAAAAGTAAGCTTTAGTCTCAACTGATGTGAATGTCAGCAATCTTGGTAAATACTGTCATGTCCCTGAAGTGCAGATGCAGCTAAAACAATACCACAAACAAACCATTCCCGTATATTTTTATTCATTTCACTATTTTTATACATTGCCACTACTGGTTGGGTCTTGATTTGGTGTTTTGTTAGCTTAAATTCCTCTCTAACCATTTTGTCAGATCTTCATCTCTTTGCACCAAGAGGAACACCCCTCACGCTGCCAAAGGTGATTCCTCCACACAGCCTCCTAAGCCTTCACGTTTTCCCTACACCAGTCTTGGTTTTTCCAAGTGTTCCACATTGACAAAATGGAGAGTGGGGACCGTAAGAGCAAGACAATCTTATGTGTTACTTCTTCTTGATCTCACTCTTTTTTCAGATCATTCCTTTTGTTCCTCCACTTTCAGGAATCAGGAGGAATGGAGAAAAAAATTGTGATGCAAAAGTACGAGATTGGACGCTTCCTTGGACAAGGCAATTTCGCCAAAGTTTACCATGCAAGGAACTTGAAGACAGGCCAGAGCGTGGCCGTGAAAGTTATCAATAAAGAGATGATGATGATGAAGGAGGGTATGAAGGATCAAATCAAGCGCGAAATCTCAGTGATGCGCCTTGTGAGGCACCCCAACATCGTGCAGCTGTACGAGGTCATGGCAACCAAGACAAAGATATATTTTGCAATGGAATTGGTGAAAGGTGGCGAACTTTTTCATAAAGTGTCCCGAGGAAGGTTGAAGGAGGATGTAGCAAGAAAATATTTTCAGCAGCTGATTGATGCTGTTGATTACTGCCACAGCTTAGGGGTGTGTCATCGTGATCTCAAGCCAGAGAATCTTCTTCTTGATGAAAATGGGGATCTCAAAATTACGGATTTTGGTTTGAGCGCATTGGTTGAATCCAAAAAGAAGGATGGCCTTCTTCACACAATATGTGGAACTCCAGCCTATGTTGCTCCTGAGGTTATAAAGAATAAAGGATATGATGGAGCCAAGACAGATATATGGTCTTGTGGAGTGATTCTCTATGTTCTTTTGGCAGGTTTTGCTCCTTTCAACGACAGGAATTTGATGGAGATGTATAAGAAGATTATCAAAGCAGATTGCCAATTCCCAAAATGGTTCTCTATAGATGTGAAAAGACTTATTTATAGGATCCTTGATCCCAATCCAACGAGTAGAATTAGTGTTGCTAAGATTGTGCAAAGTCGTTGGTTTAGAAAGGGGTACGTGCAGACTGTAGAATATCAGCTGCCACCTTTGTTCCCCAGAAATGGAGATGATATCTTGGATGTTCAGGTTGTATTTGATTCATCAGATTCAGATGGCAGTCCAATGTCAACAAAAAAAGAAAGCCCCTTGAAGCTATATCAATTCAATGCATTTGATTTGATATCACTCTCATCAGGTCTTGATCTTTCTGGTTTGTTTGAAAATGATCAGAATGAAAGACAACTGACGAGATTTACTACCAGAGAAAGACCTTCTACTGTTGTATCAATGCTTGAAGAGATAGCACAGATAGATGATAAATTTAAAGTCTTGAAGAAAGATGGGATTGTTAGATTGGAGGGATGCAAATCAGGAATAAAAGGCCAACTCATCCTACATGCAGAAATTTTTGAAGTTACATCTTCCTTGCATGTTGTTGAGGTGACAAAAGTAGCTGGAAACACATTGGAATATTCAAAATTCAGGGAACAGTACCTCAAACCTTCTTTGAAAGAAATTATTTAAGTCTGTCAGGATATAAGCGGTGGCAATGGTAGCACCACAAAAGAAATTATTTAAGTTTGTTGAGAGACCTCTTTTTTATTGGATAGAAGGTGTTCTTTCACGCATTTTTGCATGGGATTAATTTGGCAAGATATCAATGTTTTTGTCTATAGAAATATGGTTTCTACTGCTGCCAGAATTATTTGAATTGCTACCATGGTAGTTATATATTCAATGGGTATTGCAATTGACAACCTAGTTGATTGCTTTGAACATCATCAACAGACAAACAAAATTCAGAAAACAGAAAACAAGAACTAAGCACTGTATATCTAGGCTGGCCACAACTCCTCTTGGGCTAAGAAAACGTTAAAGATAAAAAGGATTTTTAGCATAACTCAGCAACAAAAAGTTTTTTAATGTACTAAGAAAGTCTTTCAGAGTGGTTAGATTTTGATATCTGGGCTTTCACTCCACATGGTTATATTTTTTAAGTCCAAAGCAAATCATATGAAGACTTTCCTACTATAAACCTGAAGAAGCTTCCTTTACGTCTATTCCTTATAATTTTGTAAATGTCCCACATTGCATATTTTATAAAACCAAAACATATAACACCAAGTAAAATGGTAACTTAATATTTCTGGGACTTATTTAAGAAAAATAAAATTATAAACATAATATATATATATATATATATATATATTATTTTTTATTAATTTATTTTTTTATTATGCTTACCAATTTTAATTTAATAAATATATATATATATAATATTAAAATGTTGTAAAAAAAATATGTATTAAGACATAATTAACCTTATCTAAAGAAGATGATGTTTTGTGAATGTTTTTTGGGACTTCCTTATCATTACATGGTTTCAATCAATTTTATAATGCCTTATTTTATTTTAAAAGTTTAAATTCATTTTATCAATGAATTGATCCTTTTTCAATTATATTCTATCCTTGCCTGAAGTTCTTATTTTTTATAATAATTAAATTTTCTCTTCCTAACTTTGTGTACTTACATGACATTAAGAGGTCATATTTGGTATAAATTCTCTTCAATAAAACAGGATATATCTACATTTAATGGATATGGATAATAAAGTTATTTTTCCAGTTTGATTATGCAATTTCATCCTAGTGTGAAATTTGTTCACCAAAATATATGTCTTTGCTTTCTCAAACTAGTTTGTTTATATAACTACTTAATATGGTTTAGTCTCTGTTTCTACTAAGAGTAATGTAAATTTAATTTTTTTGTTAAATATATTTAGGATCATGTTTTTTTGTGTTTTGTTTCTCTTTAAATGTTCATTTTCATTCTGTTATTTAGAAAACTTGTATTTTTAGTTTTGAAAATGTAACATTAAATTTTCTGAAAGGTGTTTTCTGCTAGGTGACTAAGATTGTCTGATGTCAGCTTTTGTGTGAAATCAGATTAGATCGGACGGTTTTTTTTTTTTTCTGAAATTAAATTAGAAATATTTTTATTTGAAAATAATCAGGGTTCTTTAGTTATCTTTCATCAATTGAAAGAAAATTAGTTTTCCTTTCCTTCTGCTCATCTGGGGACAACTCCTCTTCGTTCTCTTCATTCAACAGTGCCCCAAAGTACTGATAACCCTCAGATTTATAAAGGGCAATCCACCAGACACCTCCTTTGGAACATCAAAGTGTTGACTACGATTTTCTTCAAGAATTTGATAGAGAGGGGTCCCCAACGGAGTAGGAGTAATAAGAAACTTCCTAGCAGGCGTCCTAATGGACACATAGGAAGCAGGGGGTTCCAAAATCTTATACCCCTCTGGGGGAAACATAGCATCAAGTTCCTCATCCGTCCCTTGACGATTCCTCTCCTCAATATCCCTCTCCCACCTCAACAAATTGTACTATTCAATACCATCAACATGGGTAACACCAGGAGTATAAGCAACAGCAGGAGTAGCACCAGGCAATGGAGTAGCACTTCCCATAGTAGCAGGGATTTCATCCCATCCCAGAAAGCTTAGGAGTAGCATCCCAAGTCATACCAGCAGGTGTAGCACCGCCTGCAAAGGGACAAAACCAGAAAAAAATTATGGATATCAATTAGAATGTTTCTTTCACAGCCACAGCAGCGACCACTTACTTGCTTCCTTCTTTCAAGTAAGATAACTTTAAGAACCCTAATTATTTTTAAGGAAAATAATCTTAATATGATTTCAAAAAAAAAAAAAACGTGACACACCCTAATCATATTTAAAAAAAATGTCAAAAATACAATTTTTTTTATTTAAGAGGACGAACAATATTTCATGAACTAAAAACATATTTAAATTTTAATTTTTTCATAAAAACATAAAAACCCATTTTTAAGATAAATAGAAACTAAAACCTTTTTTATAAAATTAAAACCATCATTCTGAAATATTTTGAACAGGGAAAATATATTTTATCCTAAATGTGAAGTATCAGATAAGTAAACTAATAGGGATTACATTTAGCAATGTGTATACGCAGTTGTGGCTGGACTCCAGATCTGATATTAGTAAACTTCTGTTGGGCCGAGAGACACTATATTCTATATGGTCCAGAAATTTAATATACTATTTATTATTGGGCATTCTTATCTCACTAAAATTTCTGAACACATTTTTTTTATTCTAATAAACTTTTTCTGAATGCACTTTTTATATTCTGAAAAACCCATTCTAAAGGAGGAAGATACTAAAAAATTTCATAGATGTTGGAAAAACAATCTTATTGTTGATGAATTGATAGATGATACATTTTCATTTCAACCAACTTCTTTATGTTTTGGAAAAATACAAAATAAAAGCAAAAAATAATTAATTTCAAGCATAATCCTTGTAAAAAAGTTGAATGTGTTTTAGTGAGTTATTAATGAGATAGAATATCTTAATTTTACTTGGGATCAATATTGAAGATATAATAGAAAAATATCACAGTTGGTATGTTTAATCATGAAATAATAAAAATTTTGAGTTGTTATCTCAGTGTGTATGCAATAACAGTTTTTTTTTTCTTAAATATTAATTAGGTTTTTTTAAATGTATGTCCTATACCAAGGATCAAGCAATTAAGTTTAAAATAATTTAAATCTTAAAACCATTTATATTTTGTATTAAATTGGATTTTTACATAAATGATAGCTGTAAATTTAAATAATAAAAAAAAGTACATTTGAATATGAGTTGAGTATATAATTGAAAGTGTGCAACATTAGCAGGAGGTGACATTAGTAGGTTGCACGCCAAAGACTCTTTATGTGTGATTCATGATATGATTGACATTGTAAATACTTGCTTATTTTTTATTCACTTCAAAATCATCGCCTCTGATTTGTGGTTGAATATTTGAATCCTCGGTTACATCCCAACCACATACAACACAAAATAAACCCAATAATATAAACACGCTAACCAGTTCTTCTAAACATTCTTGGTAGACCATTTTGTCGGCAAATAATATTATTAATATTAATTTATTCCTTAATAAACATTATTTCCTCCTCTAAAAACATATTTCAGTCAAATTACTCGTTTTCTGGGCTGATCATTACCATCATTGTTTAATATTATATTTCTACAACATAATATATTTTGATTGTTGGTGTAAAATATTGGGAAACAAATAATGATAACGATGATGATATACTTATAACATGTATGAAAAATATTATGTATAATTTTAAAGTTAGATAGTGATTGTTGCTTCCTACAATGGATCTTATGAGTGATGTCACAGTCACACAACACCTGTAGGCCTCAACTCCAACAATCCAACGAATTTGAAGATGCTACCTAGGAGACACTTTTTTAAGGTCAGATTTATCTTGAAAGAAAGTAATAATGTATTTTATTTCTTGTCGTGTTTCATGATGTTCTGCTTCTCTTTTCAAACTGGTGTAACCTAGATGGATTATGAGTAAGATGAATTGGTGTTGTCTGGCTTCTAACTACTCAATTAAGAAACGTAATTAGGGCAACGTGGAGGGTAAATATGTAAGTGGAAGATTTGTTTAAGGTAATTTATTAGCGTCTTCATGACTTTGGAAGAAACGCAGAAACAGAAAATGACTGATTAAAATTAGGCAAGATATGAACAAATGATAGGAAGACAGGTTTAGGTGAATCGAAGATAGCTTATCTGCTTATATAAAGTTGAAATTTGATTGGTGGTTTGTGTTATGATAACCACTTCTTTTTCCACACTTTAACAAGTTATGTGATTTTTATAATGGAGACATTCAACACCTGTTTTCACACCATATGCTCCAAAAATCAAATCACCATCACAACTCAAACCACCACATCCCAATTATCCCATCTAAATACATATCCTTCAAACAAAATATTTAATATTATTATTATTATTATTATTATTATGAGACGTGTCTATTTATTATTTAGTCACAATTTATTATTTAGTCACAAATATTAAATACACTGTGTTTTGTTTTAGAACATCAATTTTTATTTTTATTTTGAATAAGACTGTGTAAAAGGTTATTCTTTAAAATATGAAGTTCAATAAATGATTAATCTCAAAGGATAATTTAAATAAAATTACATCGTAATATATTAAACAAATAAAACTAATATTTCTAAAAAAGAATTTAAAAAAATTGTACTACTAACTGGAAGTTTAAAAAAAATTAATCTGTTTAAAACAAAATTTAATTATTCACTGTGATAATAAAACAAATGCTAATAAACCCACTTTATTTGTAAACGTGTTATTAAAATAATTAAATCGATTACAAATAACTATTCATTAAAAAAACTTATTTACCATTTATTAAATTTTATCCATAAATTTATATTAGTACGTATTTTTCTGTCCTTCTTAACTTTAACTTATTCCAAACAAAACTCCAATGGCAACAAAACTATTAACAACAATACAATTAGCATGTCGTTATGCCAATGTATGAAAACATTACAAATTAAAATAATATAATTATTGTATTCAAATTCTAAAACATTATCTTGTTTTAAAGTCTGAAACTCTTATTATTGTTTTATTTATAAAATATATTTTGAAAGATTTTAAAAATATATGTTTAAATTATCTTAATATCTACTTAAAAAGTTTACACTTATATGTTTTGAATTATTTAGTAAATATTTTATTTTATTTCCTATTTTAATATATTTTGAATTATTTATTATTGTAAGAATTAAAAATGATATAACCAATTAAGTAATACAAAATTACATATATTTTAGATACATAATCGACTATCTAACTTAAATATATATATATATATA